ACACGGACTTCACACTAAGACAGTATATACTACTTCCTCCCGTTCTCCTGCAGGCAGAAACAACACTAGAAACAGTTTTTCACATTTTATGTTTGGGGGGGTAGGCAGAGAGGGCGCAAGTGCACAGGTGTGCGGTGGGGGAGGGGCAGAGGGAGAGAGAGAGAGGCTCTGAAGCAGCCTCCAGCCCCCACAGATCTCAACCCCGGGCTTGATCTCACGACCTTAAGATCGTGACCTGAGCTGAAATCAAGAGTCAGATGCGTTATGGCTGAGCCACCCAGGCACCCCCTCACCTCTTAGGCAGCTCAGATGGGCTCAAAGAAAATCTGAAAACAAAACAGAACAAAACAGGGCTTCTTTGTCCGACAGACTGGCTGGGCTGACGTTCACAGACTCCAGTCTCCCCGAGAGCTCACGCACTTGTTTGCTCCCTTCCTTTTTTTTTTTTTTAATTTTTTTTATTGGAGTTCAATTTGCCAACATATAGCATAACACCTAGTGCTCATCCTGTCAAGTGCCCCCCTCAGTGCCCGTCACCCAGTCACCCCAACCCCCCCACCTCCCCTTCCACCACCCCTTGTTCGTTTCCCAGAGTTAGGTGTCTCTCATGTCTTGTCACCCTCACTGATATTTTCACTCATTTTCTCTCCTTTCCCTTTATTCCCTTTCACTAATTTTTATATTCCCCAAATGAATGAGACCATATAATGTTTAAGATGAATGGATAAATAAGCTGTGGTCTATGTATACAATGGAACATTCCTCAGCCATTAGAAACGACAAATACCCACCATTTGCTTCCATGTGGAGGGACCTGGGGTATTCTGCTGAGTGAAGTAAGTCAATCGGAAAAGGACAAACATATGTTTGCTCCCTTCCTGCTGTGAAGCTCCATACCTGGGAGTCTCCCTGCTGACTCATGAGCTAACCTTCGTGTTCTCCAGGGTTTTCCCAGGTTCAAGAGTGAGGGCTCTATTCTCCTTCCTCACCTTTCACCGTGGCAGGAACATCCAGATCTTTCAAACCCCGGGTTCCTCTCCCGGCTTTGGTTCACACACACACACACACACACACACACACACACACATTGTCAAAGTCAAGGCAACAGATCAAAGAAAGGTCTTCTTTCTTCCTTTCTCCTCCTCGCTGTCCTACCCAGCCCAAGTCTCATCCACTTTCTTTTTTAAGATTTTATTTATTTATTCATGAGAGACACAGAGAGAGGCGCGGAGACACAGGCAGAGGGAGAAGCAGGCCCCATGCAGGGAGCCCCACGTGGGACTCGATCCCCGGTCTCCAGGATCACGCCCTGAGCCAAAGGTAGGCACTAAACCACTGAGCCCCCCAGGCTGCCCAGTCTCATCCAGTCTTGAGGTTGGACTTCAAGAGGTGTCCCGAGACGCCCCCCCCCCCATAAAGTGCATTGATCATCAATCAGGCTTTGTGGACAGAGGCATTTCAGATTCAGGGAGAAAAGTTTAATATTTAATCCCAAGGGAGCAAGGGGGACTTCAGAATAAGATAGGAAAGGAAGAAAGTCACTTTGGCAGAATGACAGGCCGAGGGAAAGGGAGCTGTCACCTCCTGGCTGTAAGGACAGGAGCCGCTTTGCCAGGTGTGCTACAGAGCGCTCCCTCCTTCGGCTCTAGCACATTCGTCAGCCGTACAAGGCAAGCAGCAGCCTGCAGAAAGCTTGTGCCAGCAGAGCCCCCAGTGGTGGTTTCCCTTACATAATTCCCGCATGACTCTCCTAAGCCTGGAGCCTTAGGAAGCTGCCCACAAAAGACAAATGGAACGATGCCTCAAAGTTCGCTCAGGAAACCTTAATAAGTTCTTTATAATCAAGACTAAGTTGCCGGGGTTCCCTGGGAAATAGGGTTTGCCCTGGGCTGTAGGGCTGGGCAGCTGATTACTTTCATTGTCTTCTTAACAGGCTATAAAAGTGCCAGAAATCTGATTAGGTAGTAAATTGACAATTATGCACGGTTGTGAAATCACTCTATATGAGGTCTGCAGTTTTAAAGATTATGTTAGGTAGGTTATTTATATGTAATTTTTAGTTTCAAAGTGAGGTAGCTGAATAAAAATCCAAAGCAGAATGCTTTTTATTCTCTCCCAACACACAGTCACAAACCCAAAGCTGGGTTTTCTACCCAACCTGTGAATATCCTTGCTGCTCAGCACCTGAGGAATATAGCAAAGGTGACAGAGTGGATGACTTCTTCGAATGTACTCAGTTGAATATAGCGATGATCATATACATTTTTTTAACACTTCTATTATCTAGTCTATGAGAAAAACTAAAATGTGTATGTATGGTTGGTGATCAAAACATATACGTATAGACAATCTAATGAATTAGGGTGGGTCTTTCAACATGACTGATAATTAGCATGATATAATCATAATGATTGCTGTCAGTAGTTATTATTTAAAATATTTTATTTGAGAGAGAGAGTGAGCACAGGGAGAGAGGGGGCAGAGGGAGAAGCAGACTCCCAGCTGAGAGCCTCATGTGGGGCTCTATCCCAGGACCGAGATCATGACCTGAGCCAAATGCAGATGCCTAACCCACTGAGCCACCCGGGTGCCCCAATAGCTATCAGCAGTTCTTTTTCTTTTCTTTTTTAAAAAGATTTTATTTATTTATTCATGAGAGAGAGAGAGAGAGAGAGAGAGAGGAGAGAGAGAGGCAGAGACACAGGCAGAGGGAGAAGCAGGCTCCATGCAGGGAGCCTGATGTGGGACTCGATATCGGGTCTCCAGGATCACGCCCTGGGCTGAAGGTGGTGCTAAACCACTGAGCCACTCAGGCTGCCCAGCAGTTATTTTTCAAATACTATGTGCCAGGTACTGTACTACAACTTCAAATGTATTAACTAATTAATCTTTATAATAGCCTTCTGAGATGATTGTATTATTTAAAAATGAGAAAACCAAGACACAGGAAGATGCACTGAGAAGAGAAACATCCCAACATTGATTATTGATTATGGACCAGGCACAATAATAAGCACTCTACACATGCTAGCTCATCTAATCCTCACGAGAGTCCAATGGAGTCAGTGATGTGATCCTCATTCTACAGTTAAGGAAACTGATACCTAGAGAGGTCGAGTAACTGGATGTGCTCTCGAGTGCGAGAATTGGAATCTGAATCTAGGTCTCTTTGTCTCAAGATCCCATGCTCTTAACCACCTATGACCTTCCCAGCCTTAGGACCTTTGGATTTGCTGTTTCCTCTGCTTGCAACACTCTTCCCCAGGTCTCCAAGACTGGCTCAAATCCATGCTTGAGGTATTAAAGCCAAAGATCAGGCTTGCAGAGGCTTTTGCTCAGAGCTGTTGCACTACATAACTCCAGGGGGAGCTGTTCACATGGACCTTAATATAAATGGTGCCTCCCTGGAATTGAGTAACATGGCTTTTACTGACCACTTGTTGAAATCCTGGTCATTCTCCATCACCTCATCTGGTTTCACTTACTTCTTAGCACTTTAGCCCATACCGAAAATGAACTATTTTATTTATATAACCTCCTTATTGTCTGTGGCTCCCAAGAATATGTAAACTTCATATGGGTAGGGACCCGTCTTATCTACTGTTGTTTGCCAAAGACTTAGTGACAGACCTATAGCAGGCACTTAATAATTATTTGTTGGATATCCTCAAATATGTCATACTCATTTCCAATAATCCTTGCCACGCCAATTTCACAGAGTGGGTATAGGATAAAAAGTTTCAAGACATTCTGGGCATCATGAAGACACTGATGTAGTAAGTCAGGATTACAAATTACTAATTACATTTTCTGTGCTTTAAATTTAGAGCTTTGCTGCAAGTTAGGACCTCAGTGCCATTGACCAAATAGACATTTATTTGACAAAAATGAAGAAGTCACAGAATATCAAGTGTTGGAGAAGCTATTCACAACATATACCACTTTCATATTTTGGAAGGGAGTATACAGTGATTCACCACTTTGGAAACTAGTTAGATGTGAACTTGTAAGGTAAGCACTCATGTTTCCCATGACTCAGTAATTCTTCTCCCAAGTAAATACCTAAGATAAATTCCTTTGCTTATTCCCAGGAGATGGTAGAAGAATGTTCATAATAACCCCATTAATGATGATAACAACAGCAGTGGAAGCAACCCAAATGCCCAATGACAAGTAAATAGCTTGTGCTCTAGAAATTTATGAACCTGTGAAAAATGAACGAATTATGACTACACACAAAAATCTAGAAGAACCTTAGTAATATAATCCTGAATGAAAACATGCAAATCTCAGAAGATCATATAAAACTTGATGCTCTTTTAATAAATTTCATTTTTAAAAAATCTAAACAATGATCAAGAATAAGAGAATGGTAAAGTCAGCACTCTTGGGTGGTTACCTTGGGTGCAGGAACGTGGGGACATGGTTGTGCAGAAAGATACAGTTAAATGTAAGTTGCTGCTGGTGTTGTAGTTCTTGGATTAGATGGTAGTTTCTGGCATTTGACCACCTGCTTCAACACCATAATATCATAGCCCGCCCCACCCTCTTTGATGGAGAGAACACTTCTAGGAGGCAGGCCCAAAGGTGACTCAAAGGATGAGGTGGATCCACAGTTGTACCTACTCAGTTTTGTATTTCCAGGATCTATATGCAATGCCTAGCCAAACAAAGTCTCAGTGAGGTTTCTTGAATGGATGAATGAATGAATGAATGAATGAATGAATGAATGAATGAAAAATGAAGGAAGGAAATGAGAGAAAAATGTGAAGTTCTTTTAGTTAATACTGAGTGTAATCCAAATAATCACTAACTCCCATACTTTACCCTGCCCCTACACATTCTGAATTACATAATCAATTTCCTAAGTAGTTGAAAATAAAAAAAGAACTAACATTCTCCCACAGTAGTAAACAACTACGTAGCATTTTTCTATATAGACTATTCCACAATGCTCATCAATATGGGGCTATGTTGGGAGAAAATGATTCCAAATCAAATACAGTACAGAAAAAGCTTTTTAATGCACTTTTTTTTTCAGGCAAAAGAGCTTCAGAAAACATCCATCATTAAGTAGTGTTACAAACGGCACTTTTGGCTACATTAGAGAATTAGATATGAGTCCCATGTGTTTTCTCTGATAGGTGAGTAGTAGAGCAACTTTATAATGCAACCCTTTCTTAGGATAAAAAAAAATGACTAATTTGTTCTAAAAGACAGGAAAAGCTGTAAACCTAAAGTCACCATTAAAAAAATTTAACATTTATTTCATACTATACAATCTATTTCATATTATAATTTTAAGTGTTATGCTACAATTCTCAAGAAGGGGGAACATACATTCAACTCAATTTAAAAATAAACATATATATTAAGTACATATATTAATGCATTTGATAATATTATATGCTAACTTTGATGATGAACTTCATTTTGGTATGCTGCAGATTTGTCCTTTTGGTGCTGAACTGAGGAAAAGCATATTATACCTGAAATTCTGCCTCAAATCAGTAAAACAATGCTCAGTGGTATCAACGGACTCTAACAAGTTGGCAAAACTGAAATGTTCCAGAGTTTTCCTGATGAAAATGAAACAGGATTAATACTCAATAGGAGAGAATAGTTATGTCAGTTTAAAATAGGTCTTGAAAGTAGACTATTGTCACAAGTATTTGAAAAGAATGAGTTATTTGGAAATGTGACACTCCATTTTGAACTGAAGGCAATGATTTTTAAATTGTTAATTGCTGATTGCTATCACCCTTGATAAGATGGCAGGAAGCTGACCCCATCTAATCTATCAGACATGGATATCTGCTTCCTGTTACCCATCATTTCTCACCTAGTCCCCTTATCGATTTATGCAATTATTCATCAGAGATTAATAGTAAAACATCACACAACAGAACCAACCCAAAAGGCAACTGCATTTTTCTCCCCACAGCAGAAATAATAAACGTGGCTTTCAAATTTGAACTGATAGCACATAGTACACTGATGAAGAAACCAAAGATTTCCACCTCCACCACCTAAAAAATCGAAACTGTTTCCTCTGGGAACAAAGAAAGCCATTTCAGGGATCCTCGGTGAGTAAAACCACACACGCAATACACTGATACACACACACACACACACACACACACACACACATGAAATAAAAGCTCTTAGAAATATTGCTTACTGTTAATTTAGAATAATTCTTGGTATTACATTTAGGAATGGAGTTCCTAAATTTTAAAGCAATTCACCTGTTAAAATATCACACAAAATATTTATTTTTTTAATGATATGATTTAACAATCCAAGGCCTGAGTCAATTAAAATGTACACCCTTCATGTTCACAGGTAATTGGCACTACTTGCATTTTATGAATATCCAGAAGCCAAAGGCCTATTTTTACCACATCTGTGTCCACCACAAAAAGCTATCTTGTAAAGGACATATAATTAGGCGACAGAAGACTGGTGTCTAACCCAGGCTCTTGCCCCAGCAAGCCTCTTGAGCTGGGGTGCGCCACCTGAACATTCCACACTGCAGTGTCCTCATCAGTAAAATGCGGACAGGAAATCATGCTCTCTATGGCTCCATGTGGCACTATTATTTTAGGATTTTCTGACTTTGAAGTTTTCATTAGGCACTGGGCTTTATTCACAACTTAATATCAAACTCCTACCCAGTATTTGGTCAGGAATTTGCATCTGAAAAGCTGAAGCCTTTCAATAGCTGGCTAATTCCTTAGTCCTTTATTCTATGAATGGTAAGTACCTACTCTTAGTGGATTAAAAGTAGCCACAAATTCTTTGCAGCTCCTCCCATCAAAGGTAGAGCCTATTCCCCACCTCTTGACTCTGAGTTAGTTTAGTGACTTGCTTTTTTTTTTTTGAAATACTATTTTATTTTATTTATTTATTTTATTTAATAATAAATCTATTTTTTATTGGTGTTCAATTTGCCAACATACAGAATAACACCCAGTGCTCATTCTGTAGTGACTTGCTTTGACTGACAACATGTTACAGGAGTAACAGTGTGTGACTCTCCAGGCAAGTCCACAAAAGGTCCTGCAGTTTCCATTCTCACCTTTGATCTCATGAGATCTAACGAGTAATCCTATGGGGAAAGGCCACATGGGGTGAAATGGAGGCACCTCAGTCAACACCCCCAGCCATCTGTGAGACACATGAACAGAGCCATCCTACACCACAAATGTGTGTGGGAACCCAACCAGCACTACCTGAGCAGTGGCTGGCCATCCCTGCAAAGCTCTGCCCAAATTGCCAATGCACAGGATCATGAGCACATAGAATGTTATAAGCCACGTTGTGGGGTGGTTTTTTAGGCAGCCATGGATAGCTGGTATGCTACTATAATCACAAACTGTGCCAGGTGAGGGAAACACCTGGGTGACAAGACACAGTCCCATGCTGCAGATGCTCAGAGTGAAAAGTTACGGAGACAGACATGTGGGGGGACAACCTCACAGTAAATATCATCAGTGCTGTCACCATAGGGGGTTGATGCAAATGGGGCCTTAAAAGAAGGGGAGTTGATTTCTGAACCAGGGAGCTGGCAAAGGTTTCTCAGAGAAGGTAATATCTAAGGGGAGTTCATTAGACAGATTTCTCCAGGCAAAGAAGGAGAAATCATATTCCAGAGAGGAGGAGCTATATGTGAGAGAGCTAAATAGTGGCCTGATGGGAATGAGAGCACTCACTTTAATTACCAGGTAAGGATGTCAGGGGGTGCTGCGGAGTAGCTAAGGTAAAGCTCTCTTGGCCTTAAGTAGAATTCTCTGGAAGCTGGCCTTTAAACTGAGGGTGATGGGAACCAAAGGAAGAAACAGTTCCTGCTTCCTTTCTTTCCTTCTTTCTTTCCTCCTTTTCTTCCCCTAGCAGTCATTTGACCAAAGACATCACTAACACTCTCTGAATCAAAGAAACTCCTCCGGCAGGAAGCTGAATCGAGTAAAGAAAGCATCTGGTTGGCTGACTAGATGCTTTTCTGGTACTTAGGTTGGTCCAAGGGAAGTGAGATTATGCCAGGACCCAAGATGACGGGCAGTAGGACGTGAGTACAAAGTATAGATGGCAGGCAAGAAGAAGATGCCCTTGTCAAAGGTGGTCTTCCTTCTTTTGTCACTTAATGAAGCCCTGGGCCCAGGCAGCATCTAAGACTCATCTTTTAAAGATGTCATAAAAACTTTTCAAGCTGAATCATAAAGTCTCCCACTTACTAGTTGTGTGGCCTCAGGCACATGACTAATCTCTTGATGAATCAGCTTCTTCAGCTGTAAAATGGAGATAATGGCCATAATGGCCTCACAGGTCAGTAGGAATAAGTGATGTAGGGTGCTAGCGCAGCACTGGGTACAAAATAAGCTCCAAACAGTGGGAAAGGCTGAGGGAGGGGCGGGAACACCGGATTTAGCATTAGACAAATGTTTGAATCTTGGTAGTTCTCGCAGCTGTGTGAACACGGAGACCATTCTGAAGTTTGCCCCGACTTAGTTGCCACATCTGAGAAATGAGGGTAATAATATCTGTCTTGGAGGGTTTTGATGAAGTTTCAAAGGGATCACATATGTTAGGTGCCGTAGCACAAAGCCTGGCATACAGTATAAACGCACATACAGAGACGATACTAGCTCCCAAATGTAGATCGACGGTACGAATGTGAGACATTCTATATTATTTCAAAATCCTATTCTCTGACTAAAGCTAAGATCAGAAAAGTTGGATGACCAGAAACACATACACGTAACATCTTTAACACGGCATGACATCCATTCCACCAGTACCATTACGTTATGATAACCTATCACAAAAAGCATGGCTGAGGTACAACATTCATATTTCGTTTTGTTAATACATGATAAGAAAGTAACCTAGTTGTTCAGAATGCATTATATGAAATTAAGAGTTTTGCCTTCCCTGACTACCTAATTTGGCACTTTGAGGAATTTCCTCTATACACCAAGCCCCCAAATGCATTCTTCTCTAAACCAAAAAAAGAAACATGCATATATACAGTGGGCTGAAAGATGACAACACAAGACGATGTTTTGGTGAAAAATAATCCCACCAACTAAGCAGGACATGTCATTCCTTTGAATGTGTTACACTAGAAAGCTAGTAAAAATTCAGGTCAACAAGGCAATTTAAGTTCAAGTTTTATCACATATGGGCCAAGTTCTAGGATACTTCACTTAAAAAGGGACAACTTCAAAGTGAAATCTTGCCTGAGGCTTGATATGTGTATATACAAATTCCTCTGTTTTGACATTCAACATATGCTGGATTAATTCTAGGAAGCTTCTGGAACTGATTGATAAAATTATTTAGGCTCAGAAAGAGAAATCAGAGCAAATAATCATAAGTAGTATCTTTCTATTTATCCCATCCATATTCATCACGAGGTTTTTGTTTCCTAACTAATGCCATAATTGAAAACATATGTTAGAAGTTGATGCTAAAGGCGGGAATTAAGAAAAAGTCATTTTTTCAACGGCTTTCAAGCACTTGAATGCTTTAGGACCTTCTTCAAAATGCTAGATAGCAGGTAATATTCCTTTGAAGATGGCTTTAATTAGAACTGTGGTGAAACCCAGATCCTTTAATAAACAGTTCCATGTTCATTTTGGTAAGAGAACAATTTAAAATCTCTAACAATTATTCTATTGACTCCTATGAGGGGATTTTAGCATGTTGCTGTTTTGGCCAGAGGAGCATTTTTGACAACTTTCGGTGAACCAAGATAGAAAACAATGGCTGAGAACTACAAATAGAAATCGAGTAAGGCAATTCTACTATGTAAGGAAATTCTATTTCTGAATTTTTTTCTACACTGATGTAAATTGGTTTTTTTTATATGATCTACCCAGTTTTTCCACATTCAAACAGTGTATGAAACTCAAATCAAGATGTGTATGTATGGAGAAAAGATTTGTGTGTCCAAAACCATCCATTTGAATGGAAGTCTTGTCATTGCATTGCTTTGTGTTGTCCTGGCTTTGATCATCCTCAGGCCACATAAGGGCAGGACGTCCACCTGCTCAGCACTCTAACTCCTCCATGACTTCCATGACGATCGTCCGAGGGCCTGTCAGAATCAGATTGCTCACGGTCCGGTAGTCTACATGCAGCACATTGAGCCCATTTACAGAGACGACAAACTGACAGACCTAAAGGAAAGGCAAAGAAAAAGTATCTATTTAGCTCCTGTTTTTTTCATAGACCTCTAATAAAGGTATTGTGTATCTCTAACATCTAACATCTCTTAAAATACCCAACTGTATCCAGCTGACAACAATTTCCAAGAATCTACACTTTTTTTGGAATGCAATATAATAGAAAAAGCATGCAGCTTAGTGTTTCACAAAATTAGGTTAAATCCAAACTTAGCAATTTACTAGCTTAAGCTAGGTATTTAAATTTCTGAGCTTCATTTTCCTCAACTCTAAACTAGGGATAAATAATAATAATAATAATAATAATAATAATAATAATAATAATACATACCTTCTAAGATGTTGTAAGAATTAAATGAAATGAGGTACATTAAGCTTCAACTGCAGTGGTCTGACCCAATGGAGTACTCAATACATTTTTATAGCTAGTGTTTATGGCTGCTATTCATTTGGACTCAAAATTTAGGACACCTTATGGCCCACTGTTCCCAAGACAGTTTTCTTTTCCAGCTACTGTTTTTGAATGATCATTAATAGTGCCTCCTTTCACTTGCCAAGGTGACCCTGATGAGATGCTAAATTCCACACATTACCCTGTCTCCCATCCTTGTGAAAGTGGATGAGGCCAACAAAGGTCAGCCTTTACAGTAAGTATTAGCTAACCTGTGGTAGGAGAGAGAATTACAATGGGGGGAAAAAAGGCACCACACAATAATGAGAGATAACTCTGGATATGTCATAGTGATCTTGATAGTGATCCACAGCTACTCCCTCAAAGTAAGTTACTTCACTTGAGGTTAGTGGTGACATCAGATGCTGGGTACTTTCTATTTAGCTGACACAAATTCACAGATGGTATATCTGTTGTGTGTCTGAAGAGGCAGACATTGGATATATGGGTGATTTTTGTTCCTCAAATAGAAAAATGGAGGACACACAGATCTCCAGCTGTCAGTGATAAGTACATCTAATTAGCAGAACAGAATCCCACAGAATATAAATCTGTACAGTGCCTGGCACATAATAGATACAATATCCCCAATCCCCAATGGTGTCTATTTCCTAATCCCTAGAACCTCTGAATAGTTAGTTTACATGGAATAGTTAGTTTACATGGTAAGCAGGAGTTAGGGTTACAAATGGAATGGGTTGCTAATCAGCTGACTTTAACATCAGATTATCCTGAGTCATCCAGGGGGGTCCAATGGAACCGCAAGGGTCCTTATGAGAGGGAGACTCAAAAGTCAAAGGCAGAAGTAGATGTCACAACAGGCAAGAAACTGGAGAGTAGAAAGAGGGGCCAGGAGCCAAGGAACGCAAGTGGCCTCTATTCGTTGAAAAAGGCTAGGCAGTGGATTCTCCCCTCCAAAACCCCAGAAGGAATGCAGACCACCTGGCTCCTTTAGACCTCTGACTCCAGAACTAAGGTAATAAATTTTCTTTGTTTTAAGCTGCCAAGTTTGTGTCAATTTGTTACAGCAGCAATTAGAAACCAATGTAGTAACTCAACAAATATTCACTGTTGAATGAATTGAATATATAAATGCATTAATCAAAAAAGCACAATTTTGATTGAGTCTGAAGGGTTTCTTGCTTCTTATAAAATATCCCCTCACTGAATAGGAAAAGAAAAAAACAAAAAGGAGGAAAGAAAAGAAGACAAAAGGGAAGAAGGGAGAGAAGACTGAGAGAGGAAAAGGAAAGGAGATTATCTGGTTGAGATTGACTAATTGAATGTCTCCCAAATCTGTTGTTATCATCATATTTCTTTATAATCCCTCGGTAATTAATATGCACACCCAATTATTAATTAATTAATTTAGTGTTGACTCAAAGAATGGGAAACTATGAAAACATTTTGAAAATCACCATTTCTTTTCCTTATACTTTCTGAGTGGGTAATAACAATATCAACTCAAACACTGTATTAATATAACATAAATAATATGAATTACAAGAATTTAAAACATAAAATGTCTTAAATATAAAAATAAAGTATATAAAATAAATATAATAAAACACTATATTATTAAATATAAAAATACCTAAACTAAAATTGGAAAGTATTAGAAGGGCAGCTATATATCTATGGAAAAGATGTGGGATTTGGAATCCATTGATAAGGATTTAAGTCTTTGGCTCCTTTGCTTGATGACCTTAATCAAGTCATGTCTTCTCCACCATATCTCAATTTATAAAACAGGGTTAGGTGAAAATGCTTATCTGCACAGGCTCAAATTAGATAATGAATTTAAAACCTCTTTGCACATGTCAAGCACTACACTGCTGGTTTCTATGAGCTTCTTTCTTTTTAAAAATACCCACGTCCTCTGCAGTCACATACAAAACAAAATGGAAAGTAGACAGTGGCAAGCAGAGTGGTTATTTATATAATGAACACTTGCTGTTGTCATGAACCTCAATATTATCCACTCCCCAACCTCTACTACCATGGCATCTTTGTATATAAGGAGACCACACCATCACTGTTTCTCTTTTCCCATTTCCATAAACCTGTCCTCATAAATTCAGGGCACATCTTGTACAGAATCAGCAGTTCTCAACCATGATTGTAGTCATAGTCATAACCAAAGTCATACTAGTAGGTTACAATCCATCCTGAAGTAGGCCACAAGTAATTTGCAGGGCAATTGAGCACTAATTTAATGTAGACATTAATGGTGCTTTGTTTTTTTCTGCTACAGTATACTCACGAGCCAAAGAATAAGAGAAATTTTACTCCCTCCTAATCCAGAGTGCTGACTTTAGACCTGGGTCTTTCTTTCCTCTAAAGGGATGAATAGCCCTTTTGTGTTGTCAAATGAGAAGGCAGTAGTTGCCAGGTGAGCTCACACTCCAGCTAACCCTTCATGGGCTCCCGAAGGTGAGATGTGTCTCTGCCTCACCAGGGATGACCTTTAGCATTTAGTCTCAACCAGAATTGTATTGTCTCTCTCACACACTGGTTGTTTGTTTTCATTGATAGACACTTAGAAAGTAGGAAATTTCCACATAATAATCCAGGATCCGGTCTCTCTGGAACAATCTAAAGCTCTAATAACACCAGGTCAGAATGGTCACTTGCCAGTGGCTGAGTAAGGGCCACCCTTAGTAGATGTTCTCTCATTTGCCATGGTATTCACCAGTTTCTGCTTCTCTTCCACCACACGGACAGACATTTGAGTCTATAACCCCTGATCTGGGGCTACCAGAGGCAAAGAGCGAAGAGAGGAAGGCTTAGTGCTTCAAGAACTGAAGGATGCCAAATGTCCATCAATTGATGAAAAGAGAAATAAAATTTGGTATATCCATATAATGGAATATTATTTGGCAATAAAATGGAACCAGCTACATGCTACATCATGAATGAATATTAAAAACATTATGCTAAGTGAAAGACGTCAGTCACAACAGACCACATATTATTTAAGTCCATTTATTAAAGGTCCAGAATAGACAAACCCACAGAGATGGAAAGTAGTTGTCCAAGGCTGGGGCATGATGAGGTATGGTAATGACTGCTACTAAGTAAAGGGTTTCTAGTCCAGTCAAACTGTAACCAATTTGCAATCCTCAAAAATATTTGTTTCATTAAAAAAATGTATAGGATTTCTTTCAGGGGTGGTGAAATGTTCTAAAATTGATTGTGGGGATAGTTGCATAACTGTGAATATATAAAAAAATAAGTGAGATATACTTTTCATGGTATGTGAATTATATCCCAGCAAAGCTGTTATTAAAAAGAAGAACTGGAGGGTAAAGGGGGCTGATGGCAGCAGTGCCTAGATCTCTGTAGACTGGAGAGGGTGGTTTCAGGATTGGTTTAAAGATGGGGTCTAAGGGACTTCCTGATTTCAGGGGCTCTTGGAGGCCACAGGACATGAAGGTTAAAGGCTGTGTGATTGGGAGGGTGATCATTCAGTGGCCTCTGCTCAGGACCTACAACCAGGAGTTCAGGGATGGAATAGGGGTAGCCATCAGGGCCAGCTAGGTAAGGATCACAGGCAGCAAAATTGTCAAAGTTCATGTTATTGGAATGCCTAAACCCCAGGATGGGGACCAATGGACCTATAATCCCAGAGGGGGAGGGCATGAACAACAGGTCACCAAAATGATATTACATTGGACTTGTCATCAACCTTGGTGAGTGGTGACTTGAACTGCACTTAATTTTAGAGAAAGGTCATTTTTTTAAAAAGATTTTATTTTTTATTTATTTATGCATCAGAGACAGAGAGAGAGAGAGAGGCAGAGACACAGGCAGAGGGAGAAGCAGGCTCCATGCAGGGAGCCTGACGTGGGACTCGATCCCAGGTCTCCAGGATCATGCCCTGGGCTGAAGGCAGCGCTAAAACACTGAGCCACTGGGGCTGCCTGAGAAAGGTCATTTTGAGGCCACCTGGGTGGCTCAGACAGTTAAGTGACCGACTCCTGATTTCAGCTCAGATCATCTCAGGGTCATGAGATGGAGTACCACATTGGGCTCTGCACTCAGTGGTACATCTGTTTGGGATTCTCTCTCCCTCTCCCTCTACCCCTCCTATCTCCACTCACACTCTCGATCTCCCTCTCTCTTTAAAATAAATAAATCTTTTAAAAAAATAGAAAAGAAAAGAAAGAGAGAGAGAATCCCAAGCAGACTCCACACTGAACATGGAATCTAACGAGGGGATTGGCTTGATTCCAGGACCCTGAGATCATGACTTGAGCTGACACCAAGAGTCAGATTTCAACTGACTGTGCCACCAAGGTGCCCCAATAAATAAATCTTTTAAAAATATTTTATGATAGGGATGCCTAGGTGGCTCAGTGGTTGAGTGTCTGCCTTCAGCTCAGAGTGTGATCCTGGGCTTCCGGGATCAAGTCCTGTGTCAGCTTCCCTGCGGGGAGCCTGCTTCTCCCTCTGCCTGTATCTCTGCTTCTCTCTTTGTGTCTCTCATGAATAAATAAATAAAATCTTTAAAAAGATTTAAAAAATAAAAAGATTTTATGAT